ATGTACCAACACGTACACACAGAACGACGGTGAGAGCAGAGCAGCCGCGTGCCGGCTGTACGCATGGCCTCCTCACCTCGATCAGCCGCTGGTCGTCCTTCGTTAGGTCCCCAGCGAGCGGAGACGGTGGGCCTAGGACTGGGCGCATCAAGACGATGGCCTGCAACACGGACAAAGCAGCGACACCAATCAGCTGGCCGCGGGCATGTTGGCACCCCTCCCTTACCTCGTTAGCCCGACAGGGATGCGACGATGCTCCCATTCGCTCACGAAAGTTGCATCAATTTATGCGTGGGCTTGTCTGTGTGTATGTGTCACAATTCTAATGCATGTTGTGCAACCAGGTGTGAGAGAACTCAAGAAACCAGGATATGCTTAATTTTCCACAGTGAGCCCTGGTCACCAATCACGTGTAAAGTATTCGATTTGCATTCAGTTCTTTGCTGTTCATTTTTGTACTTAAGGGGAAAGATGGCAGCAAGATGGCAGCAATTTGGCAAATGGATCAAAGAAAATGGTAAAAATGAGATGGGAATAATGGGAAGCAGTAAAAACGAAATGATTAAAATGACATGAAAAAGTAAATTGATTCTTTAAATGAATCCCGGCTTCCATCAACAATTCAATGAGTTTGATGATTTATGACTATTTTTTTATGATTTCGATTGCTGTAATCTTTATAGCTGTGGGTGGTCACACATAGTATATGAGCTATTCAACCCAAAATCAAATTATTCTTACACGTGTGACTAAACGCATGCATTATGTGTGCTGAAATGCATTTAACCCATGCATAATTGCACACCTATTGGCCTAGCCCTCCAGTCCACTTCGGCTGTCTTTTCCAGCCATCCCAGGGGATTTCAATGGAACAACCAAGTAACCTCTTGGGGCCACTATGAAAGGCTACATGAGGATAATAATGATGCCCTCTCATTATCCAGGAGAGTCTTGCTCAGACTCAAGACTTGTTCACGAGGATCCTGTATTAGGATTGTTTGGCACATTCCCTGAATGAGCATTGAGGTTGGAGGCAGAAGCTGCACTGTCCGGGGGAAAAACACGTACGCATTCAAGTCAAGTACGCTCAAAGCTCTGGACAGATGTATTAAACAATCTATTGATATGCTGTGATCTCCAGCTATAAACAGCTGATGTAACATTTACATCTCATAGCGGTCGGCCTATCACCTCCTGCCTCCCCGACACACTCACCCTATAGTTGTCGGGAAAGACAATTTTCCGTGACAGCGCCTTGAGGTTCAAGGCCACCATGTAGTTCACCACATAGAATGTTGCCATGTCTCCCTCAAAGTGGAACTGAGAAGAACACACATACAGACACAATATTGGAGAGAGGCACAGTGTTGTCATCAATGGTGTAGCGTGGTGGGCATGGTCCCATTAATGGACGAGATTTCTCATGCACAGCCCCTACCGTTTGGAATACCCTCCCACTCCACATCTGACAAATCGACACCATCACTTTGTTATTCAAATACAAGATCAAAGCCTTTTCATTAATCTGGGCATACAGTGATGAATAGAAAATCACAGTTTGGACATTTGACCAATAGTTTAAACACAGGATAGTTAAACCCAGGATGGATTGTAGGCAGTCCAGCTTGAATACATCGCTTAATCTCTCACGCTCATACCTGCAACGGAGTGAAGAGCGTGCAGCAGCCCTGCTGCAGGAACTGCAGAAGCCCCTCCTTGCCGTACTTCCTCCCAAAAGGAATCTGGGGACACAAGAAGCAGTGGCCAGGAGTGAACAATAAGATATATTTCCTTTTATATAGCATCATTCATGCTAAAAGCATCCCACAACGGACATTAATAATTTTTCGGACCAAATCCCACATACAGCCACTGCCAAAGCAAATGAAAACCCTACGAGCAAGCAAAATCAAGAATCAACAAACAAGTTAAGAAATGGCACCAAAACAAAAGGCACAAACAAGAAAAACATCCCAACAAAGGAATTAGTCCATGAGGTCATATCCCAGACCCACAATCCCAAATTTCCAACCAAGCCAGCAAGACCCCAAGCAATTTGTAAGCCTGCACGTGTACGTGTGTCTGCGGGGAGTGCTGGCTCAGTGGTTTGCACACTGCCCTACAAACCCTGGCCACCCAAGTTCAATTCCCGCTCATGGCCAAAAAAAGTGGTTGTTGGCCTCACTTAGGTCGACTCAGCTTTAAATGAGTACCTGGTGTCGTGTGTAAACATGAGCACTGAGGTAACAACCACACTATACCCTGAGGTGCTATGCTGGCCTTAAAAGTTGCCCACGAATAGCACCTGCTCCAACAGTTTGCGAAAGGCTTTCCGAAGGATTGTCCTTGTTACCCCCCTTTGGATCTGCCCCTGTATTATTACAATGCGTTTTTATTCAGGAGAGCTTCACTGAGTCTCAATACTCTTTTTGTGGAGGGTCCTTCCATGTTTTTTGCAGTGGGGGAGAGGGCAACATTGCTACGTGTCATCCCAATTGTGTAATTTGAATTCATTTTTTTTATTCCAACCATCACGCCAGCATATGACATCACTGGATAATTAAGGTCCACTGTAAAGCAGATAGCACGTAGTATGTTTACCAATAACACCACGGAGATAACCACCGACTGTGTCCACGTGTGTGCGGCCACTGCATTTACCGTGATCTGGTACCAAGTGGATGGTTCCTGGCTGACGTTGCGCGCCGGAGCACGGTACTCCGCCGACTCGGCCCGTGTCGTCACAGGTGGGACAACGCTCAGCCGCTGCCACCGATGGCCCTCGGGACCGGAGGTGGTGTGCGACGGCGCACCACTTGGACCCAGCCTGCTCCACACTCTGATTGGAACACAACGAGAGGGCGCGGCGGTGAACGAGGAGCCGAAGGCAGCCACGCGAGCGAAGCATGCGGTTCACTTAAACGGAGACCGTGTCAAGTTTGATTCATGTTAATGTTGGTAGTGAAGAGTCCTAAGCCACCGGCGAGGAGATTCATTGAACAGAATGTAATCCATACATCGGCGAGTGTAAACAATATCTTGTAAATTTGACGACCTCGTTGGGTGGTAGAGGGTTAACGTCAAGCATTGGCACCACGTGGCCGAACACCAAAAACAAACGCGTATTCATTGTCCTGGCTATGCCAACCTACGCTTTAAGTTAGGCTGTGTCAAGGCTACACCCAGGGCTTTAACTTCTTTCTTACAAGTCGCTGGTAGACTACATCCCACCGACGTGTGGGATAGAGAAGAAACTCGTCAGTCAATAACACTGTGGCCTTAAAATAAGAAATGTATAATAGGCGACGTTTTGGGCAATGGCCCTACGAAGAAGGCTGTTGGGGCAAAGTATTGTCAGCGAGATATTAAAATATAAACATCGCACAATGACAAGCACTACATCTGGCTATCTTTGGCTGCTAATGCTTACATACATTACCAGGTGATATCTTTTTTAAGCTGCGTCGACCTAGGGGAGACTCGGGACCGGTTCAATTATTGCTGGTCACTGATGTTAGCCATGGCTGGTAATAAACTCGGGTCAACCTGGTGTTGTTGTAGAGCAATGGGTCCCACTGCTCCACCACCCTGCACCCTGCTCGGCATGTACACATGCACACACACGCTCGTGTGCACTCGCAGCTCTACTCACGATGGCCGCTTGGAACTCGGCCCATCGTGGTTCTCATCCACCGGATGGGAGCGGCAGAGTGGGGAACGTGGGGAACGTTGTCGGCGTGGTCCACCTCTTCCTTGCTCCCCACCACCAATGCTGACAGTGCACATGCGGGACCCAATCGACTCCTCATCCACGGAGCATCGCACTCTCAGGGGGCTCCGGGACCTGTGTCGTGGGGCCGCAGGCTTGGTCGCTGTCCGCTTGTCAGGGTCTGCACACACAAGAGGGGGGTGTGGGGGTGCGGGGCACAAGAGTCTCAGTTTGGAGGTAAGAATGCGTGGATCAGGGGCACCCCAGTGGTTCTAGATTTAAAGCTTTCGTGACTGCTAGGATCCATACTCTTTGGTTCTATTGGGGAAAGTCACGTAGGTGAAAATAAAATAACAAAAAAATCACGACGTTTCGGCCACAACACAAGCGGCCTTCATCAGGTGAAGGGACGAGACTGTCTGGAGGACAGCGCTGGAGTGAGAGAAGCCACGCTTAGATCACGACCTTTAAGCTGTGTGAGAAGAAAAACACAAAGCGCCTTGACAAAGGAATTAGCATATAATTTAGCATTGAAATGGCTTATTGAAATAGATAAGTTAAAGTATACACATCCGCAGAGGTACCCCTTGACAAAGGAATTAGCATAGAATTTAGCATTGAAATAGCTGAGTGATTAGCTTGTAACTGGTCACAGAAATAGCTATGTTAAAGTCAGAGCATATACATGAGTACTAGGTGCCTCGGTGAATGTATCTGCTCTGACTGCGCGCCGGAGCACGGTACTCCGCCGACTCGGCCCGTGTCGTCACAGGTGGGACAACGCTCAGCCGCTGCCACCGATGGCCCTCGAAAAGAGATGGACTGATGTAGCACAAGACGATTTGGAACTGATTGGACTTGTTGATGACTTGTGCCAGCAGTGTCAAGATCGGCCCCTGTGGCAGAGGCTTTGATATAAAGTCGTATAACTTTTTACAAGATCCCTAATCTCAAGGTCTGACCAAAAGTCACCCAGGCACACACATGTTATACTTTACACATTTTAAATCTTTATTCACCAGATTACTATTAAGCATGCATCGATTTCCAAATGCTTCAGATATATTATGGATTGGTGTGGCAAATAGCATGTCGCTTCGTGTGAATCAGTTTTTAAAAAGAAAGTTAAAATTTCATAAGAGCAGCTTTCAGTCTTTCACATTATGAAGGATCATTGCCATTTTCCACCTCAACTAGTAAACCATCTTACCCAATCAAATATGCTATGATTTTTGGAATACCACAAAAACACTTAAAATTTTCATTTTTGTATATAATTACATGAAGTATTTTCTTCATTACATTTTTCCATAGTTTTATTTCGCACATTATGATAATGGTTTTTATATCAGGCCATTTACACAGAGGCGTCTCAGGTGACTGTACATGTGATAAGCGAATTGCATCACAAACTTGTTTTTTTTGCAGCCTCCTTGTGCAAAACCAGTCTTATTTTTATGTAGTTAGTAAACCAAAACTCACAAACTCATGGGCTGTGTTGACCAGGGTAGGTGAAGGTAAATCACCAACAACCTTGCCATGGACACACTCTAAGACAACCTCCGTAAAGTACATTCTCCCTGTGGAACGCATCATCTCGTCTGGATGCGCCGATCATTGCAGTCGTCCCCTAGAAGATCTATAGATCGCCTCTGAGTAACCCCTACTGCTCAACAGCCATTGCAATTGATGTAAGAGAGACGCGAGTTGATGGCCCAGGTCAAAATATAATAATATAAATGCATCGTACATAGTTTAGATAGCGCTTAATTTTGCTGTCATGTATAATCAGGTTGGGCCAAATATTTTAAACAGTCCATGAATTGTCCATTGTGTCAATGTTGAAAGAATTAAGCAACATTGAAAAATAGAAAGTTCTGTATTCATCTCCTGCCAATGTCAACAATCACCCTTCCACCTTGGTCAAATGGTTTTCACATCATATGCATTTTTGCTCTGCTAGGCCCCATTACAGGTGTTGCAAAACCAAAATACCATGTAAGAAACTATCAGAGTTGTCTGATTTTACCCAAAACCTTTGTTCATCTATTGACTTGCAAACCTTGGTACATTCTGGTGTAATAAAAATATAGTATTCAGCGATATAAATGAACATTTTAACAACAAATTACAATGAGTATTTTTATTACATATTGATTGCCTGCATTAATTATTTTGATTTACGGTGCCCATCATTAAAATCTATGATCTATAGTATTGTGTCAGTGAAGGGCGGTATAATAGACTACTGCATGTTCTGGTGAATCCAGTCCAAGAATTTGGTGACCCTGCTGTAAACACCTGGCTGGTAAGCCCGTGCACAGCCATAGCCCCAGCTGGTGATTCCAGAGAGGTACCAGCGGCCGTTTGAGTTCTGGCAAACCAAGGGACCCCCAGAGTCTCCCTGTAACAGACACACACAACACCAATGTTAGAAGTTTACTGACGAACAAGGAGGCCTGATGGAGCGATGATTACAATGATCCAGTATAAGCAATGGCATGTCATGATACCAAAGAGGGGATGTTAAATGGCCCGATAATTAGGTTTTAATGTTCAGTGCAAAGAGCAGTACAGCTGAGGCCAGCTTGAAATGTTCAATGGGACTGGGATCCTGAATGATGACATTGTTGTTGAAGCTCCAGTTGATGCTGGCCCACCCACGCTCCTTCCAGTAAATTGGCATCAAAATGTGTTTGTGAATTGATTGGACAAGTTTGCTTTCCAAGTTCCCCCTGGTGGAACATAAATGGGCCCATAGTCGTCATGTGCTCCAGATGGTTTTTAGGCAAAATAGTTGCATCTTGTTGGTTGTTATCGCAGCTCACCTGGCAGGTGTCCACCCCTCCTTCGAGGTACCCTGCACACAGCATCCTGTTGGTGATTACAGATGGGCTGTAGGCCTGCGGCCCTGGGGTGACGCACGTCTTGAAGATCTCTACTGAAGCCTCCTGAAGCCGGTCGGATGTGTAGCCTGTTAAGTACAAGAATTCGTGTTGGAAACCGTGTACCATTTCTGCTTGTTAAAGTACTATATTTCATCAAGACTTAGATCGTGGTACATTTAAATGCTAACAACATATCACCTGTATATGAGCTTAATGCCTAATACAGATATTCCTCGAGCACCAGAGAGCTCTGCGATCCGACTGCCATCATTATTCCAATGGATTTTTACAAAAAACTAGTTTCCAAACAAAAATTTGGGCCTCCATTAAATCAAAGGAATTGTTCAGTAGAAGAGATGTGTAGATGATAATTGTTTTTCATTAATCAAACATTCCCCCTAAATTAAAGAAATGTCGATTATGTTTAACTTGTGCCGTCAGAAAATAACATTGCACCGATTCATACATTAAGATCACGATACATGCCTTGAATCGTGGGCATAGCAATGGATTTTTTTAAATATTTGTATCTGTTGTACATTAGAGGTGCTACATTTAACCCAACATAAACAAATCAAGGGTTGTAATCCTGAGTTTAAACAGAAGGGAACTGCTTTCTATGAGAAGATCGATTTTATTAGAATGTTAATCGGGTCGTGTGGAGGCTCAAAACATGACAATACTGTGGTTGCTTTGTTCTGACACCATAGACACTGAGATATGGATACTAAATAATATCTCAAACTATGTTCTATTTAGTGGTCAAAGTGTAGAGGTGTTAACTACGCGCTGTTGCGTAACATGAATTGCCACCAGGGCAGTGCAGCATTACCCCTGGGTACAACGGTTGGGGTCAGTCGAGGTGAAACGGATCGTGGCCAGGGTTTGGTGCGAACCAATCAGACGGTTCCACGTGGGAATGTATGATTGATTCTACCTGACCACGAAGGGGTATAAGACGGGTGACCCAACGGACCTCGGGGAGTTCTCTCCCTGCACGAAGATAGAAGACTGGGCTGAAGCCTAGCTAGGACCCTAGACCAGCCTTTCAGCCCTTCTAAGGGCTAAGGCTCGGCATACCCAGTGGTCAGGACCCACTGGGCCAGCGGTGGGTCAGATAGCCTCCCCTAGGTCCTAGCCGGAGGACTAGGATAGCGGTAGACGTGTGAGTCCCGCCAAGTCCGGAGGTTGTACCTCCTTAGGTATCAAGGAGGTTAGCGGTAGACGTGTGAGTCCCACCAGATCCGGAGGCTGTACCTCCCTAGGGTATCGGGTGAGGGGACCGAATATCCCTCTGTGTGTGTTAAGCGTTGTATAAGGAAATAATACAATAAACAGAGTGTGCCTCCTAAAGAAGTCTGCTCGTCCTGACAACACTACAAAAGTATCTTCTGAAATCACGTGTTTTCCCAGGTTAGAATATTTCACCTATGGACTTACCACCTTCAAAAAGTTTTCCCCAACCAGAAATGAAGCATGATTTCCCTGGGTAGGGAAACTTCTGAAAGCGAGGTGGGAGGCAAACTGGCTGTATGTAATCGGTGAAGGAAACACGTTCTGACAGCTGCATAAGAGCAATGTCATAGTCATGGCTGCTTCCGTTGTAGCGCTCGTGGATGAGGATTCTGTTGACGCTTCTGGCCACGACAGTTGAAGCGCTGAGATCGTTCTGAGAGTGCAGGCCCAGGTATACCGTCCAGGTGTTTGGGTTGTTACTAGGGAGGTAAATGCACAGACACCACAGTCAGCATCAAATAATACAGGGCATTATGTTTTTTTTACCAAGGTAAGCCTCATTGAGTCTCGGACTTTTTCAGGAGGGTCCTGCCAAGTTGTTTCGGTAGGGGTGATGACTGCTGCTCTGTATAATCTCAACTGAGTAATTGGTGTGGGTCAGTTTTACAAGTAAGCAAATTTGGACTGTGGCGCCGGCACGCATCACGATTGCAAGTGCACTACGAAAAATAATTCCTGAATGTGAAAAAAATCTGAGATGCTTAATTCCTATTCCACTTATATTCATGCCTCTTTCTGCAATAAAATTCTACAAAAATATCTTCTAATGGTGTTGTGATTCATTGTGTGAGTGGGAGCAGCGGTGGTTCATTGGTTAGCACACTGCACTTACGAAACTGTTGACCCACGTTTTAATTCCCTAAAGTTTGATTCCCAACCACAGATAACGTTATTCGTGACCAGTGTGGTGAGGTATGGTCGAACAACACCCCATGACCAACACGGTGTGATTATCAAACTTTTCTGCTGTGTAACATTTACCACAATGCATCCTTTTAAAGTATGACAAATAAAAATAGATTTGACCCTTTCTGGCAATAAAACAGGTGTTAAGATGTTCAAACACCTTTTGCAAGGAATCAAGTTTGTATTAACCACACGTACTTGTGGTGTACATGCAAACAAACTTGCTCTGATAATAATATATGCATTGTCTTTGAAATCGATTGGCTTACACGAGAGACAGCCTTCCTCACCAGTGACAGACCAGAGAACGTCAAAAGGCGAACAATACCAGGACAATGCACTTATCAGAGCATGTATAGTAAAGTGTTCACAAGACATGTGAAGCAACAGAAACGCTCACCTCTGGAAGCAATGAGCAGCACTCACAACCCAGCGGTCACTGAGGAGGGAGCCCCCACAGGTCAGTCTGTTTAATTTGTGCAGGCTTGCTTGCCAGGGCCATTCTCCGAGCCTTGCTTCGTAGCCTCCCACGATCCGGTTGTTCACTCTGCGCTCTGCTACGGGGATCCAGCCACATTCTGAAAAACAACAAAACACAATTACTACTACAATACAGGTTTTTTTTTTGGGTTAGATCGCTTAAATATACATGTCGTTAAACCCAACACAGCCAACTAGTAAGAGTTGTCACGTAAACAGAACATGCCAATTCGTCACTAGTACAGCACAACGGTGTGTTGGAGAGCCAAGCTAGAAAATGTATAATCTGAGTACGATGTTTTGCCAGTAATAACAACTAGCTTCATCAGGCAGCATACAGATTTGTGTTTCGTTCCTTATATAGAGGCGTAGATGTGATGACAACACTTGTGCGCTCTTCTTGTCCAAAGTGGGGGGGGAGGATTAATGAATCAACGTACATTATGCGTGCGCATTATGCGAGCCCATTGATCTTATATTTCTTGTCCATTGTTTGTGTAGTGTTGACAAAGTAGGCAGAGACTTCTCTTTGTAGGCAACACCATTTATTCACCCTAACGACAAAGAGCGTCCCTAACTTAGAGACGTAATGGCCTCTCCCACCCGATAGCCTAGAAGATACATCCTCACACTTAGTGTGCCCTCACACTAAACTCTGCTATCGGGAATTCCTCCGCTAAGGGACCTAGGGGAGGCTATGCTCACCCGACCTTGCCAGGGTAACGGGTGCCGCCACTGGGCCATTCGGACCTGGCCCTGACAAGGGCCGGGTGTCGGAAGTCCCAGGGCACTATCCAGATGTCTTCGGGTCTTGAGGTGAGTGCGGACTGACTAACGCTGGGAGAGCTGCCCTTTTTATACTCCTCTCTCCCAACCGCCCTCTCTGGAGAGGGTCTGGGTCCGACCGTTGGCACCCCCAGCTCCCTCCCTCAGTGGGCTCTAGCCCCCTCACCCCTGGTTAACGGTTATTGTAGTCGTGGGTCGTACACCTGTCACTCAACAGCCCCCTTGGCTGTTCTGTGCCCCCTACAGACTGAGGGCGCCACTAGAGGTGAGTGTACGTGACCCATACAATACTGCTACGCAGATAAGTACACATGTTGCGCGTAACAATGCGCAGCTACATTTGTACTAAAATAGCCGTACCAGAGACAGCCTTCTTTAGGGTCTAGTCTCACCAGTGTCAGACAAGAGAACGTCATCATCATTGTTTGCCATCTTCATAGGTTCATCTATCATTTGAAAATTTATCAACCATGGTATATTCATTGCTAGATGAAGATGTCTCTAATGCACAACGATTTTGCTTACAGTTTTACACTAGGCACTATATTTTGCAAAAAAAAGTAGTTAATTAAATGACATTTCGTACTTACAATTACTGTCGTACATTTGTAATTTACCCATTTTTGTATTACTCACGGAATTTGTACAAGAAGCGCATGAACCAAAGGATGGTCAGTTTATAAACCGATAAAATTAGGAATTAATCAATACCTCTGCTGGCTGGTAGTGGATCAACTTTGTAGAACTCCAAACTGAAGCCATATTCTGAAACAGGAAATGAGAAAACATTTTACGTGAATATTGTGTACAGTCAGTTTAACACGTAGGCTTTCGCGACCAATATTATTCATAATAAAGGTTTTTGGGTTAGATCGCGTTATTTATAAATGTGTCGTAACCCTCCACCACCCGACATGGCCAATCAGCAAAAAAGTGTCACGTTGACAAAAGACAATTAGTTCACTACTTTAGCCCACCGGTGTGTTGAAGATTGAATCCACAACATTTACAGTTTGAGTACGCCGTTTCGCTGGTAATTACATCCAGTATCAAGTAATGTAAGCGATTCGTTCACTGGAACCTTAGTGAATAGAGAAATCACAACAAAACTTACCAGAATATCATTAGGATTAAGTTTAATATCTTTAATCACATTCACAAGATGTTCTGAATTTCTTATGAATGAAGATGTCCTACTGATGTAGGGCTGTATTTGTTTAGTTATATATTTTGCTAATTTATATGTGGCAGAGCCAATTGTACTGACTATGGGTCGTAATGGGATGCCGATTTTATGAATCTTTGGTAGCCCATACAGTCTAGGTGGTTTTGAGGCCCTTGGCTTAATTTGGTATTGCTCATTCTTAGGGATTAATGAATTTGCAATCATTGCAGTAGTCTTACGTTCTAAAGTATTAGTTGGATCTCGTTTAATTTTAATGTAGGTACTTTCCTCTAGTAAATTTATAATTTTATTATCATAATCGGCTCGTGACATCACTACAGTAGTGCGGCCTTTATCAGCTGCCAGGATTTGGATATCCTTATTTACACGCAGCTCTCTTAAGGCTTTTGCCTCGTTAGAGCTAATATTTACTTTTGGAACTTTGCTATTCTCAATTATTTTGGCAACCTCATGTCTATTCTAGATTTAAAGCTTTAGTGACTGCAAGGATCCATACTCTTTGGTTCTATTCGGTAAAGTCACGTAGGTAAAAAATAAAACAACAAAAATCACGACGTTTCGGCCACAACACAAGCGGTCTTCATCAGGTGAAGGGATCAGGCTGTCTCGAGGACAGCGCTGGAGCTGTTAAAAGCTCTAACAGATAGGTGAAAGCCCTCCCCGTAGAGGTTATCAATTACATATAATTTAACATATAATTTAGCATATATGCTAAATTATATGCTATTTCCTTTGTCAAGGCGCTTTGTTTCTTCTCACACAGCTTAAAGTTCGTGATCTGAGCGTGGCTTTTTTCACTCCAGCGCTGTCCTCCAGACAGTCTCGTCCCTTCACCTGATGAAGGCCGCTTGTGTTGTGGCCGAAACGTCGTGATTTTTGTTATTTCATTTTTTACCTACGTGACTCTACCCAATAGAACCAAAGAGTATGGATCCTTGCCGTCACGAAAGCTTTAAATCTAGAAGTGATTAAAGATATTAAACTTAATCCTAATGATATTATGGTAAGTTTTGATGTGATTTCTCTAGCCACTAAAGTTCCAGTGAACGAATCGCTTAAATTACTTGATACACTAGTAAAGAATATAGGTTTACCAAAAGATATTCCGAAACTTGCTGACCATTGTTTAAATAACACTTACTTCTTATGGAGAGGGGATTTATTTAAACAAAAGGAAGGAGCAGCAACGGGCTCTCCTTTATCCCCTGCTATAGCAAATTTGTACATGGAAAACTTTGAAATAAGAGCACTTGCCTCGAGCACATTAAAACCATCTTTTTGGTTTAGATATGTGGATGACACTTTGGTTGTCTGGCCACATGGTAAAGATACACTTAATGATTTTCTAAATCATCTCAATGCACAAAACCTGGCCATCCAGTTCACCATGGAAATGGAGGTGAATAACACACTCCCGTTCCTAGATATTTTGCTTGGACATGGCCTAAACGGTAAAATAACACACAGAATTTACAGAAAGCAAGCGCACACTGATGCCTATCTGAATGCAGATTTGCATCATCATCCAGCTCAGAAATCCTCTCTTATCAAGACACTCATACATCGGGCTAAAACAGTGTCACATGATGGTGAAAGTCTAGTGAGAGAGATCAAACACGTTAAAGAAGCACTACGACAGAATGGCTACAATAATGCTCAAATTAACAGAGCAATGAATGCCAAATCACGATCGCAAAGCAATACTGCTGAAAGCGATTAGATTGTTAAAACAATAAAAATTCCATATATCTCAGAAGTAACTGACAAATTAGCCCGTGTTTTGCAAAAGCAAAACATTACAGTAAGATTTGGTCCAGTACACACAATTCAAAAACTAGTATCTTGTACTAAAGACGCATTACCTAAATTATCAACAGAAGGTGTATATCGGATTAATTGTTTATGCAGCAGATGCTATATTGGATAGACGGGATGTAACATCAGCATAAGACTAAAAGAACATCAAAGAAATATTAAATTATCTCAAACACAACTGTCGGCAGTGGCAGAACATGCTTGTCAACAAGGACACTCAATTGATTTTGATAACGTTGAAGTGTTGTGTAAAACTAATTATTACTGGCAAAGACTAATTAGAGAATCCATTTAAATTGAGAGGAATAGAAATAACTTTAATCGCTCTGACAGCTACAGGCTTAGTGCGGCTTGGAAGCGTATTATTAAATAATACATATTACAATTCCTTATAGGGGAAACACATACTAATTAACGGATTACTAACGTAGCATATAATGACAATAACACACATTACAACTAATTACTAATTACAACTCATTACTAATCATAACCATTGACTGATTACCAATCGATTACATAATTACAATACCCCCCCTCTGCCTCAAATCACTGCACCTGAAATGAGTTAAATGATGACGTCACCCTGCTGCTCTATTTAAGACCGGGAGCAAGCGAGGGCTTTACCATTCTGGCGAATTGCCCGATGATGCTGGATGTAATTACCAGCGAAACGTCGTACTCAAACTGTAAATGTTGTGGATTCACTCTTCAACACACCGGTCGGCTAAAGTAGTGAATTATTTGTCTTTTGTCAACGTGATACTTTTTTGCTGATTGGCCGTGTCGGGTGGTGGAGGGTTACGACACATTTATAAATAACGCGATCTAACCCAAAAACCGTTTTTTTATTAATTGTGTACAGTACAAAATGTAACATAGCTATAAGCGAGTCAGATGTCTTAGCAAGCAGCAACAATATCACGTACAGTACAAAAACTTAAAACAGTTATAACCGAGATGAACACGTAGGCTTTCGCGACCAATATCATCCATAAGAGGTCTTTTGGGTTAGATATATAGATATTAGATATATATATTAATGTGTCGTTAAAACCCGCCACCACCCAACACAGCCAACTAGTAAGGGTTGTCATGAAAACAGAACATGTCAAATCGTCACTCGTCCAGCACACCGGTGTGTTGAAGAGCCAAGCCACAACATTTACAATCTGAGTACGACATTTCACCAGCAATTACAACTAGCTACATCAGGCGACAGACAGATTTGTGGAGAAGTCCACCTGTTTCGTTCCTTATATAGAAGCGTGGATGTGGTGACCACACTTCTGCGCTCTTGTGCAAAGTGGGAGGGGATTGATGAGTCAACTTAAATTATGCATGTGCATTATGCGAGCTCTTTCATCTTGTCCTTCCTGTTCATTGTGAGTATTAAAATAGCTGTATCAACGATAATCCCTATTAAAGTATGGTGCCCTTTATAGGCATGCATTTAAATAATGTCTTATTTGATGATTCCATTCCACGCAGCACTAAGGCGGTAGCTATCCGAACAGTTAAAATTATTTTCATTTCTTTCAATTTCGATAGATTCTCTAATTAGTCTTGGCCAGTAGTAGCTGGTTTTGCACAGAACTTCAACATTGTCAAGTAAATTGAGTGTCTTGTTGGCACACATTCTGCTACTGCTGACAGTTGTATTTGAGAGTATTTAACATTTATCTGTTCTTTCAGAGACATTAAATACTCTGTTCTTTCAGAGAAATATTAAATAATCCCAAATACAACTGTCAGCAGTAGCAGAACACGCGTGCCAACAAGGACACTCAATTGATTTTTTTTTATAATATTGAAGTTCTGGCTACTACTGGCCAAGACTAATTTAAGAATCTATAGAAATTGAAATAAATAAAAAGGAACATTAACTTTTCGGATAGCTACCGCCTTAGTGCTGTGTGGAAGAGAATAATCAATTAATACATTATTTAAATGCATGCCTATACAGGGCACCATAATTCAATAGGGATTACTGTTGGTACAGCTATTTTAATACACGCAATGGACAGGAAGGACAAGATGAGAGGGCTCGCATGATGCGCATGCATGATGTACGTTTGCTCATTAATCCCTCCCCCCAACTTTGCGCAAAAGCAAAAGTGTCGTCACCACATCTTCGCCTCTATATAAGGAACGAAACAGGTGGACTTCTAAACAAATCTGGCTGTCGCCTGATGAAGCTAGTTGTGATTACTAGCGAAACGTCGTACTCGGATTGTAAATGTTGTGGCTTGGCTCTCCAACACACCGGTGTGCTGTACTAGTGACGAATTGGCATGTTCTGTTTACGTGACAACCCTGGTCTGGAGTCCGAGTTTGCCCTCTAAACAAAGTGAGCGTCTGCCGTCAACACGCAGCAAACGTTCCTGCAAACTCTCCTTTGACCCGGCGCCTCCCATCAGCAATGGCCGGCTGCGAAAGAAGTGCAGCGTGCGTACGTATGCACGTACACAAACGCGTACAAAACAAGGGTACCTTGCATGAAGTTGTCCGAGACTTGAAACACGAGCGTCACATTGTTGGAGAGGGAGCGCACGCCCGGCGGCAGAGCTTGGCCGCAGAATCTGCCCAGCGAATGTCCCCGCTGCTGGGCTCCGCCGTCGTACACGGTCAGGGAGCTGTTGCCACACAGCTCGCTCCCCGGTAGCCTTTATTGGGGTGAGAGGTAAGAGACAAACCGTGTAAACAGTGGGTTTTGTTTGGTCAGGAACGGTTAATAATAATAATAAAAATGTCGAGTGCTGTAACTTTGGGCCTGTAGAAAAGTTTCGAAGCAACGTGGGAGTGCTCCCCATCCATGTGTGTGGGGATCAGTAGTGTAGTGGTTAGCGTGCTGAACCGGTCCTGGGCCTCTCCTAGGTCGACTCAGCCTCAAATGAGTACCTGGTGCGATTTGTAAACATGGCCACTGGGGAGACAAAGGTGGCCGAGGTGTGGTGTTGGCCATCCACCCCCTTGTGCTGTGCTGGCCTTCATAGGTGCTCGCTAACAGCACTTGCCCCAACAGTCTGTTAAGGCTATACGGGGGGATGTTTGTAATTTTCTTTGGGGTGATTTCGAGGGGTGTGTGTAAAGTGATGTGGTGGTTCCTTGCTCAAATGAGCGGTAGGAGGGGAATGTTCAACGCTGTGGGTGGAATTTAGGTTGAAATTAACTTGTGTCTACTGCGAGCGCAATGTAAATTATAATCGAACGTGAACATCATTTTTACGGTGATGGTGGAAATGATGACATAATAATTACTATGATGTCGATGATGATAATTAGATTCTGATGATAAATGGGTACTGATGATGATTAAAGGGTGATACTGTTGCATATTATGGTGATAACCATATTGCTGTTCCTGATGCTAATTTTGGTTCCGCTGCTTATGAAGACGATGAGGAACATGATGAAATGCAGAACGGGAAGTGTTCCTGAGAAAGCCACACTTACTTCTAAGACTCGTTTTGAAGCTTGTTTCACATGCGGGAAGAAAATATTTAAAACATTTTTTTTACCACCTACTGAGCAACCTGGCCATAAATTATAGCCCAATGAAGTGACTTGTGTGGAAATTTATAGCAGCCAAATCCTCTTAAACGCATGTTTCTAAATGTGCAGGGAAATCTTCTTTGGTTCTTTCGGTAAAGTCACGTAGAATGAGAATAAAATAATAAATTGATAAAATAAAATAACACAATAATATTCTCACGACGTTTCGGCAACAACACAAGCGGCCTTCATCAGGTGAAGGGGGCGAGACTGTCTGGTAGGACAGCGCTGGAGTGAGAGAGCCACGTTCAGATCACGGCTTTTAAGCTGTGTGAGAGGAACAAAGAGCCTTGACAAAGGGATTAGCATAAAATTTAGCATTGAAATGGCTGAATGATTAGCTTGTGACTGGTCACAGAAATAGCTATGTTAAAAGTTAAAGCACACATCCGCAGAGGCACCCATTGTTAAAAGGAATTAGCATAGAATTTAGCATTGAAATAGCTAAGTTAAGGCATACACATCCGCAGAGGCACCCCTTGACAATGGGATTAGCATAGAATTTAGCATTGAAATGGCTGAGTGACTCGCTTGTAACTGCTACAGAAATAGTTACGATGAAGTCAGAGCATACACATTCACCGAGGCACTTAGTACAAATCAAACAGGAGAATTTAGCATTGAAATAACTAGGCGAATTTAGCATTGAAATAACTGGGTGATTTGCTAGTGACTGGTCACAGAAATGACTACACATCTGAGCTATTCACAGTACTATATAGTGAACCAATAAAAACTAAAATATAAATTACCTTCATGTTATCAATAAACTCTATATTCTCCAATCAGCTAAGCTACCAACCATAAGTCGTTATATATCACAATGCTATATGGCGAAAAAATGGGTGGATTCTTACCCTCAAATTTCCGTACCACGGATAGCTACGGGCCCCGTTCAGACGGACGAGTTCGTCCATGGTCGGAACAGAGGAGGGGGAGAGAGACAGCTGCGAAGCCCTAGTATACTCCATGTTGTAAACCATACCATTAACCGTGGTGTGAGAGGTATTAAGAGGCAATGCTGGCGAAAGAGCTGCGGTCTGAAGGTCATCGTAAAATTACAATTAATTAAGAACAGAAATGATTTAACACATCTTTCCAGTGGTTACTAAGCCTGAATCCATCTTCTCAGTTGAAATTGTCTCTGTGCTTGTATATGTGAATGGCCTCATGAACGAATCTCTCATGGTAGCCAGTTGGTTTGCAAAGAACCTCCGTCTTGGAGAAGTCAATGTCATGTGAGCCCACTGAATTGTAACAGTGATCTGCCACGGCAGAGGAGTTCGTCTTACCGTGTTTCAAGTCTGCTTTATGTTCGCGGATGCGGTCCGAGATATGTCTTTTGGTTTCTCCAATGTAGCTACTACCACAGAGGCACTTTAGTTTGTAAACGCCCGGGTACTGTATGTCTGGAAGAGCATCTTTTACAGATGGAACTAAATCACGGATTTTGTGTACTGTGTTGGATCGGACCTGGATCTTGTGTTTATTCAGGATTTTGGAGATCTTTTTAGTGACCCCTGCAATGTAGGGTAAGGTGATGGTTTTGAGTGGCTCCACAAGAGGATCCTTCTTCATGACTGGAGTGATGGCTTTGCGGATTGTGTAGTCGGAGTAGCCATTAGCCCTGAGAGCCTGGTGTACGTGCTTGAGTTCACTGGTAATGTGTTCCTGGTCGGAAATGCATTGGGCTCTATGGTATAGAGTCTTGATGAGGCAGTTCTTCTGGGATGGATGGTGGTGGGAATCCGGTTTCAAGTAAGCATCTGTATGGGTAGCTTTCCTGTAGACAGAGTGGCTCATTGAACCATCATGTCTCCTTTTAATTAAGACATCCAGAAAGGGTAGTTTGCCATCTTTTTCGACCTCCATGGTAAATCTGATGGCTGGGTGTATGGAATTGATGTGGTCGCGGAATTGGTCTAGAGCAGGCTGGCCATGTGGCCAGATGACAAAGGTGTCATCAACGTACCTCTTCCATAAGGTTGGGCGTAGAGTGGCAGTCTGGATGGCGTCAAATTTGAAACTGACGCCAAAGATGGCAAACTACCCTTTCTGGATGTCTTAATTAAAAGGAGACATGATGGTTCAATGAGCCACTCTGTCTACAGGAAAGCTACCCATACAGATGCTTACTTGAAACCGGATTCCCACCACCATCCATCCCAGAAGAACTGCCTCATCAAGACTCTATACCATAGAGCCCAATGCATTTCCGACCAGGAACACATTACCAGTGAACTCAAGCACGTACACCAGGCTCTCAGGGCTAATGGCTACTCCGACTACACAATCCGCAAAGCCATCACTCCAGTCATGAAGAAGGATCCTCTTGTGGAGCCACTCAAAACCATCACCTTACCCTACATTGCAGGGGTCACTAAAAAGATCTCCAAAATCCTGAATAAACACAAGATCCAGGTCCGATTCAACACAGTACACAAAATCCGTGATTTAGTTCCATCTGTAAAAGATGCTCTTCCAGACATACAGTACCCGGGCGTTTACAAACTAAAGTGCCTCTGTGGTAGTAGCTACATTGGAGAAACAAAAAGACATATCTCGGACCGCATCCGCGAACATAAAGCAGACTTGAAACACGGTAAGACGAACTCCTCTGCCGTGGCAGATCACTGTTACAATTCAGTGGGCTCACATGACATTGACTTCTCCAAGACGGAGGTTCTTTGCAAACCAACTGGCTACCATGAGAGATTCGTTCATGAGGCCATTCACATATACAAGCACAGAGACAATTTCAACCGAGAAGATGGATTCAGGCTTAGTAACCACTGGAAAGATGTGTTAAATCATTTCTGTTCTTAATTAATTGTAATTTTACAATGACCTTCAGACCGCAGCTCTTTCGCCAGCATTGCCTCTTAATACCTCTCACACCACGGTTAATGGTATGGTTTACAACATGGAGTATACTAGGGCTTCGCAGCTGTCTCTCTCCCCCTCCTCTGTTCCGACCATGGACGAACTCGTCCGTCTGAACGGGGCCCGTAGCTATCCGTGGTACGGAAATTTGAGGGTAAGAATCCACCCATTTTTTCGCCATATAGCATTGTGATATATAACGACTTATGGTTGGTAGCTTAGCTGATTGGAGAATATAGAGTTTATTGATAACATGAAGGTAATTTATATTTTAGTTTTTATTGGTTCACTATATAGTACTGTGAATAGCTCAGATGTGTAGTCATTTCTGTGACCAGTCACTAGCAAATCACCCAGTTATTTCAATGCTAAATTCGCCTAGTTATTTCAATGCTAAATTCTCCTGTTTGATTTGTACTAAGTGCCTCGGTGAATGTGTATGCTCTGACTTCAACGTAACTATTTCTGTAGCAGTTACAAGCGAGTCACTCAGCCATTTCAATGCTAAATTCTATGCTAATCCCATTGTCAAGGGGTGCCTCTGCGGATGTGTATGCCTTAACTTAGCTATTTCAATGCTAAATTCTATGCTAATTCCTTTTAACAATGGGTGCCTCTGCGGATGTGTGCTTTAACTTTTAACATAGCTATTTCTGTGACCAGTCACAAGCTAATCATTCAGCCATTTCAATGCTAAATTTTATGCTAATCCCTTTGTCAAGGCTCTTTGTTCCTCTCACACAGCTTAAAAGCCGTGATCTGAACGTGGCTCTCTCACTCCAGCGCTGTCCTACCAGACAGTCTCGCCCCCTTCACCTGATGAAGGCCGCTTGTGTTGTGGCCGAAACGTCGTGAGAATATTATTGTTATTTTATTTTATCAATTTATTATTTTATTCTCATTCTACGTGACTTTACCGAAAGAACCAAAGAAGATGAATCATTGCAGTCACGAAAGCTTTAAATCGAAATGTGCAGGGAAAACTAGGAGGATGTGGAGAAAAATCCACGCGACCACAGGGAGAATGTGCAAACTCCAAATATACAGCAGGCGTCAGGGTTTAGATCGAACCCATGTGCTTCTGTATACCAGGTGAGGTAGTTCACATCTCGCCACTGTGGCGCCCCAGTGCCCACAGGCAACACTTTGAGCAAATTACACTCAAATGTCCACACAGATTCAAGAACCCATTTCTCTACCGTCTTCTCCTGGCCATCTCAGCACACTCACCTGTGCTGTTGCCAGGAATCATGAATACGTCGCAGGGTTCAGAGTGCGATGCACGAAGCACTGTGCCATCACTCCCCACATTAAACTTAAATAAAATTTATTTTACCAAGTAAGGCCCACTGAGCTATATCGCTCTTTTTCAGAAACGACCTGGCCACACATGAAAGCTCCAAATAGTGGGGCATCACTTTGGCAAGATGTTAACTTCCTTTGACTCCCTCGCCTGGTATTCAGGAGGTCGTGGGTTCGATCCCGACCCTCACACCTGTATTTCTAGAGTTTGCATGTTCTCGCCATGGTCGTGTGGATTTTTCTCCGGGTCCTCCAGTTTTTCCCTCCACATTTTAGAATCAACGTGTTCAGAGTATTTGGCTGCTCTCAATTTCCACATGATAAGCCACTTCGTTGAGTTATAATTTGTGGCCCGGTCGCTTCTGAAAAAGAGCTATATAACTCCGTGGGTTAAAATTAAAAAAAAATGTTGATAGTTTTATACTCTAAACCCATGTTTCTAAATGTGGAAGGAAAACCCGGAGGACCTGGGAAAATTACATGAACATGGGGAGAACACGCATACTCCAAATATGCATGTAACACGATGCCCAGCCGACCCATGTGATGGAGCTCAATTGGCCAGTGTGTCCACCGAGGGAACGAGCGTGCTGCTGATAACGCACGTGCCTCCATTCTGCTTCAAACTCCCCTGGATGTTAATGGAGTGCGCAGTGTTTATTGCCGTTGTTCGTAGGCTAGGGCTTTACCCATTCTGAATGGTGGGAATCGAGCCAAACTAAAACTGTCAGGGTGAATCGAGTAGAATTAATTTTGTGCAACTTGTAGAGTTCCACAATTTCGCGAACATGCGGTATGTAACTCTATAGGAACCAGGCCTTTTAAAATAAACATTATCAATATCAAAATATATTAGTAAAATTGTGTGTTACTTGTGATGCCACAGCAACGGAGCAGCTCTGCCGGCGCTGCTGCCCCCTCGCAACCCCTCACACGAGCACACACAAATACCCCCACGTAGGACCACGTGGGGGAGTCACTGGCCTCTGGGTTTTCACCCGAGAGCCCCCTCGTGGGGGTGCTCCACGGTTTCCCGGGGCCAGGGAATTGGCAGATCGAATGGCACTGCGGAGCCGTGAATTAACTTTAAATTGTATGGCCACGGCAAGCCCACTAAGCAACCGCAGTGAGAACATACCAACACAGGGGAAGGGAGGGGGAGCCTTGGAGGGAGCCGAGCTTACAGCGGGCAGCAGGGAAGGCAGTGCAAGTAAGGGGCAGGGCAAGCGTGTAAACAATGGACTACGGCACCGTGGGGGGGCTGAGCCAGATAGTGGGGGGTAGGACGAGCGCGCTTGAGCCCAAAAGACAACGCAGCAACCCAAGTGGATCTCTTTGAAGTGAGGGGGTTAGGCCACGGATAAGTGCCCGATTGGCTGCGCGGATTAGGGTCCGGATGGACTGATGGAGCACATAGGGGAGGCGCTCTGATTGGCTGAGAGGACCGCCCAGCTTAGTCGGGGACCTCTTTTATGTAGAAAGGGGTAAACGTGGAGGGGAGAGGATGACCGGGTTGGTCGTCTTCTTCTCAAGTCAGCGAGCCACGCGTTCAGCCTTCCAGCCACTCGAGCGTCCAAGTGACGCTACCGAGCGCAGCTGAGACACGACACACAGGCAGGGAGGGATCTCCTGCACCCTCGTCTCTCCAACTCCCAAGACGGCCGTAAAAAATCGTGAATACATACGATGGCTTAGTGGGGAATAGCGTGAGGACTCCACAAGGGCTTAATTCGAGATAGGCGAGGAGGGTTGGGAACAGCCGGGAGAGACGCTGCTCGCTGGGTGGTTTTCGGCTCCGGGTCACGTAGCATTTACTTGCAGTCGCGCCTGGAATAAAACTCTAGCATAAAATATCGACGTTGTGTGGTTTCTGTGAGGGAAGAAGGGTGGTGGGAGTGGTGTGGTGCAGGTGCGAGCAACAGGTTAACGCGCGAAGCAACCTACGCGTAACAATCGTCGTCCAGTCATCTTTGTGCCCGGGTTTTGCGCGCGAATCCCGTCGGCGTTCATTCATCATTGTGCCCAGGTTTTTTGCGCGCGAGTGCGTATTCACTCCGCGCGTTTTATGCAGTGGGTTGTCCTTGCGACGCTCGCCTTAAGGGGGTCGGCGGGTGCGTAATTCAAACACGTGGTGCTAGGAATTAGCGTGCGAATATCCTCCTCATCAGCGCGACCACCTGTACCCACGTGTTTGTCATCAATAGCGTGCCGTTACCCTGGGAATTAACGCGCGAATCCTACCATCATTAATTCGCCGTTGCACATGGTGGTTGCGCCGTTGTTGTTGGTGGTGGTGACTGCGCCCACGCATATTCATACGGCTATTTTTAGCGCGAGCCGTGGGCAGCAGCGTGCACGGGTACGTGCGTGCAAGGAGTCACCTCCGAGCATTTTGGGGAGTGTACGCGGGGAGTGCGTGGGTAACCCCAGGCGGCGGAGGGCCAGCCCTGAGTAATGCCCCACAGGGAGGACGTGGAGGCGGCGAGGCCGATGACTCGATCGGCGGCAGCCCGGCAAGAGGAAGAGGAGGTTGAAGGGGTAGAGGAGGCGGGGAGCATCAGCCCCCACATACTCACTTGAAGTAGTTAAATTGCAGCTTGACAAAAGTGCCATTGGGAACTGTAATGTCCACAGTGCAGAACATATTTGTTGCGTAGCCAAGGTCATAAAAGCTGTTCATTCTGCCAGAGTCGCCATGCAAACTCAATGAACACCGATCAATGCCTGTCAAAAGGATTACAGTACACAGAGATGACATTAAGACATCAGTCATTGAATGCAAACATCGATGTTAAATACATATTTGTTAAATGTTCAGTATATACTGAACTTGACTGCCTATATAACATACGGTATGATGCACGGTACGCACATGAATACAGAAGATATTTTCTTCATATTATTTTTCCCCCAATTATATCCTGATTGTGCGATCAGCGTTAACTTATGGGGATGAATCCATTTTAAAGTCTTCAATATTCAATAGCAGTCTGCAGAAGCAGCTATCAGAGAACTACGTCTGCGACACACATCAATTTTCAAAACTATAGGGCGAAGCATTTTCCCACCTGCCTTAATAATTAAACATTCTCAAAGCCAAACCCGACTGCAATGTCAAATTGAATGTGATGGTTTTGGTGTTTGATCATCGGCGACTGGGCTGAGACCACCAACTCGCTAGACCTGGAAACCCGGCTCCATCATGGTCAGCCGCCTGGATTCCCAATGAGGATCTCATCAGTGTCAGCTCAGGGCTCTGACTTCTGAGCCATGTGGTGGCCACTTTTCATAACCAGGCGTATTTTTTAAAATATACCCGGGCGGTACGCAATGACAGTTATTTTACCAAGTTTAATTTCTGAGCAATATGCATTCATAATGATTATATGGACTGTTCTAGAACGCTGTAGCAGTTGCGTACCAAAGAAAACGTGGGTAGCATCTAGAATCATCCAGCAGCATCCCACCTTGTGTGATGCTACGCCGAGGCAGCCATACGACCACTTATTCCTACTCACGCGACGTAGTTCTGTTCACTCAATCGCGTTATATCCAATTCGCGTTATGAAACACACGCGGCGTTATAGGAGAACTGACTACTGTACATCTCTCTCCCATCTCTTTCATAGCGCCCTTCTGAATAGATGTGATTTTTTTCTCTTACACGTCTTCTAAAACGTAGATATATTCTTTAATCTTACTCGACCTGTCTTAATCTTGATTTGAAGCTTTCGTGACTGCAGGAATCCATACTCTTTGGTTCTTTTGGTAAAGTCACGTAGTTAGAAATAAAATAAAACAAATCACAACGTTTCGATCGCAACACAAGCAATCGTCATCAGGTGGGAAAATCACAGCAAGAAACAACTGCTGAAGAAGGCGAGAGAGCTGCCGTGGCACGAGGTTATATAGACTATATAGGTAGGGTACATGGGCGGGGCTAGAGATGGGGGCGTGGGCAGAGTAAGAGCTGCGGAGGAGACGGGAGAGCTAGGGGGCAAGAGAGGTGGGGGGTTGCCAATGAAGCAACAATGCCAATGCAGCAGCAATGCCAAACGCCCGGGATGCGGGGGGAAATTAACTCGGAAAACAGACCAGCACCCAACAGATATGATGGAACAACCATACACAGTTAAGGTTTTACCTGGTTAATAACATCCTTCCAATGAGTGTTCAATTTGTATCCATCTTCTCGGTTTAAGTTATGTCTATGTGTATATATCTGGATGGCTTCATGAACAAACCGTTAATAGTAGCCTGAAGGTTGCAGAGTACCTTGGTCTCGGAAAAAAAACGATATAATGCGAGCCCACAGCGTTATAACAATGGTCAGCCATGGCAGAGGTATTGGTTCTGCCGTGTTTCAGATCTGCCTTGTGTTCGTGAACACGGTCCGAGACATGTCGTTTCGTTTCCCCAATGTAACAGCTACCACAGGTAGATGGCGGCGGCGTGTGAGTTGTGCTGTGTGAGTATGAGCTGTGCGTGAGAATGAGCTGTGTGTGAGCTGTGTGTGAGTGTGTGTGAGTGAGTGAGCTGTGTGGGTGTTTAAATTGAGATTGGCGGGTGCAGGGGGGTTTAATCGTTTAGTCGGGTCTAATTGTATGTTCTTTCTCCATCTGTCCATCATCATCTCTTTCCTTCGTCTCTCTCGTGAGTGTAAATATAAATGTACATCAGAGGGCTTTTGATTAAATCAAGTCAACTAAAACTAGACGTGGCAAATATGGACCCGGACATTTTTTGCCGAACAGAAACATGTCTGACTCCTGCCGTACATGACTTGCAGATTACGATTGACAACTAGAACCTTTTTTGGCTTAACTGAGGGTCTAAAGGAGGTGGAATTGCCATCTATGTTCGTAATACCATTGCATGTTCACCAGCTCACTCCTTGTTAAAAAAAGTATTGCTTTAAAGGTCTGGCTCTCAGAATAACTCTCCCAAATAATCAACAGATATTGGCAGTGTGCTGCTATAGACCGCCTAGTGGTAAGGATGTTGAAGCTGCGTCTGCACTGAGAGAGCTTCTTGGGGGCCTCCCTAAAGGTGAAATAGTTTTAGTGGGTGATCTAAATTGGAATTGGCTAAACCCGCCGGCCGTGGCCACAAATTGTGCAGATGAATTTAACCTATTTCAATTAATAAATGTCCCCACAAGACCCAACCTAAAAAATCCGGGACAGTCATCTCTGCTTGACGTCCTATTGACAAATGCCCCTCACAATTTCACACTGACTGGTGTTCTGGGTAATAACATTAGTGATCACTCCTTCATTTTTGGGGTGAGATCACAGCGTTGAAATACGGTGTTTTTTCTGGAAGACTTTGCTGTTTTTTTTCAGAATTTTTCTGTTGCGTGTCGTCACTTTAAGATGTTTCTTGTTCATGTTTTTGTTTTGTTGCGGTTGCACCCGAGTCATGAGCCGCATGGCTCACAGGGTTATACCTAATAAATGATACTGAAACTCAGTTTGAAGACTCCAGGATATTGCATGTCAGGAATGACATCCTTCACAGATGGGATTGGATCACGGATTTTGTGTACTGTGTTGAATCGGACCTGGATCTTGTGTTTGTTTAAGATTTTGGAAATATTTTTGTTAACACCTGCTATGTATGGTAACGTGATGGTTTTGATCGGCATCTCAGGGGGTTGTTTCTCCATGGTTGGAGAAACAGCTTTGCGAATAATGTGGTCCGAGTATGTGTTCCAGTTCACTGGCTAGGTGGTGTTGGTCGGAAAAGCAGTGGGCCCTATGGTGTAGTGTTTTGATGAGGGAATTCTTCTGTGCCGGATGGTGGTGGGAATCAGGTTTCAGATAGGAATCTGTGTGGGCGGTTTTCCTGTAGACAGAGTGTCCCAACGAGCCGTCAGGTCTCTTCTCAAACAAAACATCCAGGAATGATAACTTATCATACTTCTGCACTTCCATGGTGAATTTGATGGATCTGTGTATGGAATATATGTGGTTGAGAAATTGTTTCAATGCTGGCAGGCCACGTGGCAAAATGACGAAAGTGTCATCTACATATCTCTTCCACAAGGAAGGGCGTAGGGTGGATGTCTGGATGGCATCTGTTTCAAATTTCTCCATGAAAACATTCGCTATCACTGGTGATGAGGGGGAATCCATGGGTGTACCTTCATTTTATTTGTAGAAAGTACCATTTCAGGTGAAGTAAGTGTTGGTAAGGCAGTGCCTAACCAGAGTAGGAACATCAGGATTCAGTCCATGTTGGACTAAATCTTCAATTATTGCTAAGGTGTCAGGCACAGGAACCTTGGTGAACAGATAAACTACATCCAAGCTAAATTTTTATTTAAAGCTTTCGTGACTGCAGCGATTCATATTCTTAGTTGTTTCGGTAAAGTGACGTAGAAGGGAAACAATAAAATAATAAAAATATAAAAACAATAAAATTGTTTTTATATTTTATAATTTTGAAACTGACGCCATCCAGACTGCCACTCTACGCCCAACCTTATGGGATTAGCATAGAATTTAGCATTGAAATGGCTGAGTGACTCGCTTGTAACTGCTACAGAAATAGTTACGTTGAAGTCAGAGCATACACATTCACCGAGGCACTTAGTACAAATCAAACAGGAGAATTTAGCATTGAAATAACTAGGCGAATTTAGCATTGAAATAACTGGGTGATTTGCTAGTGACTGGTCACAGAAATGACTACACATCTGAGCTATTCACAGTACTATATAGTGAACCAATAAAAACTAAAATATAAATTACCTTCATGTTATCAATAAACTCTATATTCTCCAATCAGCTAAGCTACCAACCATAAGTCGTTATATATCACAATGCTATATGGCGAAAAAATGGCGTCAAATTTGAAACTGACGCCATCCAGACTGCCACTCTACGCCCGACCTTATGGAAGAGGTACGTTGATGACACCTTTGTCATCTGGCCACATGGCCAGCCTGCTCTAGACCAATTCCACGACCACATCAATTCCATACACCCAGCCATCAGATTTACCATGGAGGTCGAAAAAGATGGCAAACTACCCTTTCTGGATGTCTTAATTAAAAGGAGACATGATGGTTCAATGAGCCACTCTGTCTACAGGAAAGCTACCCATACAGATGCTTACTTGAAACCGGATTCCCACCACCATCCATCCCAGAAGAACTGCCTCATCAAGACTCTATACCATAGAGCCCAATGCATTTCCGACCAGGAACACATTACCAGTGAACTCAAGCACGTACACCAGGCTCTCAGGGCTAATGGCTACTCCGACTACACAATCCGCAAAGCCATCACTCCAGTCATGAAGAAGGATCCTCTTGTGGAGCCACTCAAAACCATCACCTTACCCTACATTGCAGGGGTCACTAAAAAGATCTCCAAAATCCTGAATAAACACAAGATCCAGGTCCGATTCAACACAGTACACAAAATCCGTGATTTAGTTCCATCTGTAAAAGATGCTCTTCCAGACATACAGTACCCGGGCGTTTACAAACTAAAGTGCCTCTGTGGTAGTAGCTACATTGGAGAAACAAAAAGACATATCTCGGACCGCATCCGCGAACATAAAGCAGACTTGAAACACGGTAAGACGAACTCCTCTGCCGTGGCAGATCACTGTTACAATTCAGTGGGCTCACATGACATTGACTTCTCCAAGACAGAGGTTCTTTGCAAACCAACTGGCTACCATGAGAGATTCGTTCATGAGGCCATTCACATATACAAGCACAGAGACAAT